AGGTGACTTTTTTACGTGCCCGAGGGGTCCCCAGTGATGTTATTTAATTAATTGAAGAGCAGAAGATGATTAAATCAAAAAAGCTAGTTTAGTCTTTAAAACAGACATGGCTCAGGCTTGATGCTAACATGTTTGTTAGCTGTCAGAATTCAGTCAGAATCCTGCGATTAAAATCAGAATTCTGAGATTAAAGTCAGAATTCTGAGATTAAAGTCAGAATTCTGACTTTTTTCACATATTAAACTGAAATAATATTTAAAAATCAGTTAACATTTTTATTTTTTCAGTGGCCCTAATCCTCTTCCCTAGGATATATTTTTTTATTTGTTTTATTTGTTTGTTTGTTTTGGGGGGGGGGTTGCCATGTGGTTTACACTCCTTACCAGTTGGCGGCGGTAATGCTCACCTAACGTTTTCGCCAACCGCCATAAAAATTTAAAGAAGAAGAACACGTTATACCCTCACACCACTAGATGGCGATAAAGCAGGACTGGAGCAATCGTCTCTACCTCAGAACCGGAAATAATACAGCATACACAACGCTGGGGTTTCCGTGCCACACGTGGGTCTCTGTGTCAGAGTAAGTTATGTTATATTGTTTGTTTAAATAAAACAAAACATAAAAGTATGCCAAAGAGAGCGAAGGCCAAGTCGGAGGAAAAGCCTCCAGCAGAAGAGCGGGTCGAGGAGCTGCTAATGGAGGGCAGGCGGACCCGCAGCGGCCGCACGGTGCGCCCTTCTACCGCGCTGCTAGACTCCAAAACCCCAGTAAAGACTCCCAGCAGGAGGACAAGGAGGTCCGTCCGCCAGGATCTCCCGCCGCCGGTGGAAGAGGAAATCCCCGAGGATACGGAGCAGAAGTCACCGTTACTGACCGTAGAGGAACCCGATGTGCCTAGAGAACCAGAGCCCACAGAATGCACCGAACCAACAGAGCCTTCAGAGCCGCAGCCCGCCCAGACAACAGCGGTGGAGCCAGAATCACCTGAGGGTGGAGAACACCGACTGCCCTCACCTGTACCAGTAGAAACAGCTCCACAAGGTTCGGATAGCATCCCTAAGAAGAAGCCTCGCCTGGCTCCAAACACTAAACAGATCCCGGTGGTTCCACTGGGGAAACCGAAGTCAGGAAGAGTGTGGAAGGAGCGCAACAAGCAGAGGTGAGGTCTGCCTGATCATCTCTGAGCAGCAATAATCTGCTCCTTCATAACTCTTAATCCATCAGGATTAGTTTTTATTCTTTCAATAATGGAAGCAATTTTATTTGGGCTTTTTTTTTTTTCAGTCTGAAAAGTTTGAAAGTGCAGCATTGATCTATGTAGAGTAGCAGCCATTAAAAATGGCCCTTTCCAGGCCAAAGCCAGCCAAATGGCAGCAAAATCCAACTTCCGTGCCTTCTTATGGGCATGCATGTTTTTGTCATGTTTTTGTTAGATCATGCTTCTGTTTAGATCTTAATGCCTAGAAATTATGACAAAAAAAGAATATTTTAGATGTTTAAAAGGAATTGTTGGGGACCAGCCAAGGATCTATCAAGGAAAGGGGGGGAATTTTGAATGGCTACTACTGTGAACAGACAATAGATGTAACTCTCTTACCTGTCTGTAACCCTGATGTTTGCATCCTTCAGGTTCTCTGCTCTGCTTAGAGACAAACCACTGTGCTCCTCCTGGGAGAAGAAGATGCAGGCCAAGCGTGAAAAGGACCTTGTCAAACAGTTCACAGCAAAGCTGAAGGAGGAGAAGGCTCAAAAGATGGAGGTGAGGTAGTGATGCAGATGTGCTGAAGCAAAGCGATGTTCCTGCGTGTTTAACAGGCCCTTGCTTCATCTTTTAGGAGAAGAGGAAAAGACGAGAGGAGAACCTGAAACGGCGAGCAGAAAACGAACGCAAGGCTGAGATTGTGCAAGTGGTGAGTTTATCCACGCACTTGGAAGCAATCGTCTCACCCTATAGGTTTTTGATCAGCATTGCCTCACAGAAGGAATATTTTTCTCACTCTTTTCAGCTACAATATAAACACATATTCAGGTTTTTGTTTGCTGAAATCTTTTAGGTGGTGTAACTCCACCAGCTATACGTTTTCTTCATTAGAGGCTTAAATCATTATGGAAATATGAGCCTCCATCCTAGAGTTCAGTCCTTTGCAGCATTGGTTCAGGATTCTGGGCGTTCATAATTAGCTCCACCCATCAGATCTCCACCTGATCCCCACCATCACCTCATTTGCATAAGCGAAACCAGATATACAGCGGGTCGCCCTCGATTTTAATTGACGGAGTGACAGGGTTCTCTGACTGCAGCAAGCTCAGTACATACATTTATACCCCCTTCATGCCATGAAGAGTTCTGTGTAACTCATTATCTCTCATGACCTTCGTTTGGATCCTGTGAGGCTAAGATCAGACATATCTCAACATTTTTTACTCCACAATAGTTAGTGCACTAAACTAAATGCGTTAAAGGTTGATAATGCATTTCCTGAGAAAATAAATGCATTAAAATCCTTTTCTGTTTTATCACTCGTCTCTTCTGTTTAAGTCTTTGTATTTAAACATAATTTCAGTCTTTTTGAGTTTTATGTTTTCCTTTTGTGCAAACCTTATGTTATAGAGTTCATAATCTAAAGGAAAAAAATGCAGATAAGCATTGTTTAATCTTATTTTGATGCTGTATAGAATTATTTATTGATTTTAAGAATAAAAATAAGTACTTTTAGTGACATAATTACATTATTTATGGCGACCTGGATGATTATCTGCTTGCACATGCGCAAATGAGCCGATGGTACATATCAGATAGAGACAACATCTCTAATGCTACGTTCAGACCACACGCTGCAGAAGCAGCTAGTTTACATGCAAAGTCAATGGTTGACGCAGCAAAAGGTTCTGCAGCTCGTTATGAGCAGCAGGAGCAGCGCGTCAGATGCTCAGACGTGCAACCTGCTGCGAAAGCAGCTGCTGCTGGAATGAAAGAAGCTGATCTGGGTGCAGACGGGGAGACAGACACAGAACAACTTATGCATATCGCTATGATCACTCCTCTGAAATGGTTTACTGACACTTAAATGAACTTAAAATGTCGAAACCTGTCGGCAAAATATGTTCGCTTTTATTATTCTGGTGCCTGGAGTTTGTATTACGTACATGAAAAACACCTTCCAGCCGCCACGAACGGTAGCGAAGAGGTGACCGGGCCAAAGGCTGCGGCTAAATGGGATTTCCAGGGACAGAGCACCGCCGGCGTGCAGAGGTCTACGCGGCTCCGACAGCAAAATAATATTTGAAGGCAGGATTGTAATCTTGATGAACTGACTGCACAGATCAAGTTTTTAGGTGGACTTTCTCACTTAATGGCATATTAAAAGTACTTTTTACCCACTTCTAACAGCAGACGCACTTTCCTGGATGTGCTTTAGGAGCGTCAAAGCTGCTCTTGACGCGTGTCTGAACTTAATGTGAACAAGAATAAAAAATGAAGCAACAGAAGCCTTTTTGCTGCTTCCAGTGCTTGTGGTCTGAACGTAGCATAAACCTCTTCATAGCTTTGCTGTGCAGTGTTCTCGGTCTCCATGGTGATAAAAGTTCACAGAACAGCTGGATTTTAGGTTACTTCCTGTTTGCAGGTCAGTTGAAATTAGGTTGTAATGAGGTTTTAAGGTTGTATTGCATGAAAAAAGGTTAATGAATTTTTAAGTCAAAAACTATGTTCAGAGCTCCTTGTCTTGTTTGTTTGACAGATCCGCAACACGGCCAAGATCAAAAGGATGAAGAAGAAGCAGCTGAGGAAGGTTGAGAAGCGAGATACTCTGGCTCTGCTTCAGAAGTCACAGAAGCAGAACATGCCAAGCAAAGTGAAGAAAGATGTTAAGCAAGATTTAACTTAAAAACTGTCTGACAATAAATCCCAACTATTCAGAAAAGATGGTCTGTGAAGATCTTTTTATCAGATCGAGTTAAAACCTTTATTCTTCATGAAGAGGTGTTCCTAAGATAAAGACTTGCTGACCATTTTATCAGGTATATCTTACTTTAAAACAGTCCAAAACCTGTGTGTCTATTTGGAGAGATTCCTCTCCAAATAGACACACAGGTTTTGCCTGCTGCAGATCTCCAATTCTGAGGAGTTATTTGTCTATTCTTTAACCTGGAGGTTTCTGCTCATTATGAAAGGTTAGGACACTTACTCAGTCTAACCACAAGAGGGCGCTGTCACGTGGTCCTAAGGCTCCAACTATTCATTTGTGTATTTGCTAGTAATGGACATATTTACGGTGGTTTCTTTGTCAGCTAATTCAGACAGTTTAAACAATACAGTTAGACAATTTAAATGAAATTGTAAATCCAGGGAAATGGAAAGCAGTCATTTCTATTGCAACACAGTGATGCCCCATGTGAACAGCTGTAGGTTAACATAACTTTAAACATTTGCCCCTTTCTTAAAAAAAAACTTTACACTGTCAAAACTTTCAAAGACGAACTTCCATTTTTTTTAATTACCGGTATGTTTTTTCTAACTCATGATTTTCTGTCAGGGAAAAGAACAAACAGACATCATTTAACCCTAAATGTAAAGTCCTCTTTAAAAGTATTTGATTTGACTGGATAGATTTATTTGAAAGAAAATGGCAAATATTTGTTATGTTGATCTGTGCCATAGAGTTACCATTGGAACAACTGCTTTCTGTTAGATGCTGTCCCATTCTAGTTTGTAGCCCTCGCATACAATCCAGGCACCTTACACCATCAAGTGTGACTTTATTGCAAATGACACTTGATAGTTAAGGGTTAGTGGGGCTGTTTGGGATTCAACCATTATTGTGGAGAGTGGTTAGGGCATAGAGCTTGGAATCCCAAGGTTCTGAGCTTGAACCCCACTCCCGCAGCCCACTGCTCCCCAATGGAATAGGTTAAATGCAGAGGTAAATTCCTCAAATGTGAGATTAATAAAGTTCAATTATTATTACACGCCTTGAAGTGCAGCTTCAGATGTTCCATCCCTAGTATTTACAAGTATGAGGCCTTTGTCAAAAATCAAGATAATCAAATCAAGTTTATTTTGTATTACATTCACAGCTTTAAAACAATTTAAAAGGGAAACTTGCATCATTTCAACACAAGGGGGCGGTATTACAACGACTTTAAGGCTATCTTTATAGTAACAAACTGAAACTTCTCATTGATCTTGTCATGTTTGCTTTTGAATTAAGATTAATCATTCTACAAATAAAGCACAATTAGACAATATTCTTTCCAAAACTTGGAACTTTTATTTACATTTCAAGTCAGTCACATGCAAGATTCTCTTAAAATGAATAAACATGAAATTAGCAAAAAAAAACAAAACATTTTAGTCTTTTTTTTTTCTCCAAAAGAGCAATATACAAAAATAGAGCTTACAAATACTGTACAGCATATAGTCTCCAAAAATATTCTGCTGCAGAATTCTTAGTTTTACAAACAATGTCTGTGAGGGTTCACAAACATAATTAATGTTACAAAAAAGGAGAAGAGTGAGGAGAGTTTGAGGGGGGGAAGGCTTGTTTGGGTGGGTGGGGGGGTTACTTGTGAGTTTGTAAGAGCTACAGAGGAATAAATACACAATACAAACAAGACAGGTTTCACTTCAACAAGGCAGTGATAAAGAGATTAAACCCTAAATGTTCAGGTTGCTAAATCCAACCATAAATCAATGAAACTCAAGCAGCAGTTTTCTTCTTTTTGTTAAAATGAATACTTTGTTTTTTTGCCACATAACAGTGTGTCGTGATCAATAAGTCCCTTTCTCCTCCGGTTTCCAGTAAATTTTTTATGTCCTGACAGGGTGTCTATTTATAACAGCTCAGTCAGAAGCAAAGCTGACGTCAGGGATGACTTCAGCAGTGGGAAGACTTTTTTTTTTTTTTTAAACCACACTCAACAGCCCCATTCTTTTTCCTGGCATCAAACTCCCTGCTTTTAATCTCAAACACAGACCTTCTCTTCTCATTTAGCTTAAGCTTCAATTGCTAACATTTTGTGTTTTGAAATTGGCACCTAGAGTGCGATCAGGACGGCACACGAGAGGGAAAACCTGTGCGGGGGAAAAAAGCATCCGGAAACAAACAAAGATGGACGAACAGCAGCAGGCGTCAGCTGCTAAATAAAGTATCGCTTCTACTGTGACTCGTGTGGGGATACATAATACTAACATCGAATATTTAGCACAGGTGAGAGAAAATGGTTGCAAAGCAGCATGCAGTCACAGTAAACATTTCCTTCTTTTGCGAGATTCAGGGACAGCTCCGTAAACAAAGCTTTAAGACTTGAGTTGTTAGAATGGAAAGGAGCGAGGTTGTTTGGAAACGGCAGATCCACTTTCTCATACTGCAACAATAACAGTCCCAGCCTTTTCATATCAAAAACTCGCCACACACCAAGCTTAAAGAAGGCCTTACAGTCATTTTGATCAACACAGATGTATTGTTAACACATCTTTTCTTTGTTGTTATGGTTTTTGTTCGACCAAGGCTGATGTGGGTGCAACGACTCACAGGAAAATTAGTATTATTAGTTTTCAGTTCAAATAATGCCAGTTTTGGACCACAGTACAGTAAATAGATTCATATTTTTGTCTTTTTTTTTTAGTACCAGAGCTGTTCTGGAGACACTTTCACCGTTTAAAAGGATACAAAGATGTTTAAAACAACATTTGGATGTTTTCCCTGGTTTTATCGGGATTATATACGGCACAAATTAGTGCCCAACTCTGGCCTAAAAGGAAAATGACAGAATAAAAAGAACAGTATGGATTTATAATCAGCCACCTTTAATGTGATAACCCTGAATAGTGATGGTTGGATGAGAGCAGCAACTAACTTTGACTTGTTTCTAAGTAGAGTCAGCATCATGATGCAGCCCAGGCAGGAAAACATGCTTACAAATGCTCTGCATACAGTCCGACTGGGCTTGGACAATTTTGCAAAAAACAAATGACTGACCTCCGTGAGGTTGAAACTGAATGTTAGGCCTAACTTATCAGATTCTCTTTTGTAAAAAACGGGATATGAAGACTAATGCATCATCATATTATCTTCTAATATGAAAATAAGAAGCTTAGTTTGAAGGAGAATTACTCTCCATTTCATTTACATGGATTCCAGGTTTTACCTTTTAACCTTAGCTTCGTTACTAAACTGCTTTACATGTAACATCGATGGGGAAAAAAAAACATCCCTATGTGCCCGCAAGTTATCAAGGCCTGCAAAAGAGATAACTCGGTCATAACCTGCTAGGGTATGAGAATAAAATGTTACTTAGTGGTTCTTTCAGAGGAACAGATAAATGAATCCAAATGTGGCCGTGGCCTAATAATAATAGATAAGCACCAGATACAGAACGTATCATCTGTACTCCCGTTACGAAAAGTCTCCTAAGTGGTTATTATCGGATCTGAAAGGGTGCAACAACTCTAATTTGCTACAACCATTATCTCATGGTTGATTATAACATCTTGCAGGTGTTCTCAGTTCAAGCACTATCATTACATTCTCACTAAACGCTACAAAATCCTGCAGATTACTAAACATTTTATTCCCAAACCTCTGGGAACTTTTTTATTCCATTGATGTTACAGAAGTAGCAGATTAATTCACCAAAGCAGCTAACAGGGGGACAAAAACCATGGCTCAGAGCTGAACAACGTGTGGCACCAGACAAAAGCGTGTTGTACCGGTGCAGAAAGAGTTGGAGAGAGGAGAGAAAGCACCAGATTACTGCAGTGAAAAAAAAAAAAAGTTTTGCGTTTGCATGAATGAAAACGCTGTTTCACTCCAACCTGCTGACCACTGACTATGGCAGTGAGAGAAAGGAAGGGCAGCTCCAGCCGCTCCCCCATGTGCACGTATGTTCGTCCACTAAAAGGATGTGCTGATAACACGCTGAGGGCAGGACTCCTGGCACTGGGGACAATTCACTGACCTATTCTCTGAAATGCAGCTGTAACCATTAAAAAAAAGGTGTTTTAAATAGAAAAAGAAACATCAATAAATAGCTTATGAGTGGCGAGAAAGATAACGTGGCTGAAATGGGAGGGAGGATAACCTTCTGACACGTTTGCTGTGAGGTGACTTTCAGAGTTGTTCTTCCAAGTTTCAAGCTCTCATCTGTGAAATATATAATACTTAATCTGATGATATTGATACAGAAAACAGAGCAATGAAAAGCTAGAAGTGTTTCCTCCATGAAACAATTCAAAGGCCTTGGCTTAGAGAGCACATTGGTTACCTAAAATCTGGATGTTGTTTCTGTCTGAGATGAGCTGATCAGTCAGAGTAACGCCTGGGTGATGGGGAACATGATCAAATGTTTCACATTAAAGCAGACCAAAGCTTTCCAGAGTTACAGTCCCTCTGACATATATCTGGATATTTGTGGTGTTTTTAAAACATATAGATCTGCTTTGTACACGGAGATGAAGAAAAGAAATTAAATAAAACACATGACCTTAGGCCTAAAGCAATAAAGGTTTGCCTTCTCATAAAGTGCTTTTTAAACAAAAAGAAAATCTTAGTGTCATAAAGTTCTTGGCTTTTCTTTTTTTTTGTCATTTTCTTCTTCCTTGTCTTTTGCTGGTGCCGTCCAGAAAAAGCGCTTTGGTTGTGGAAAAGTGACTAAAAAGGAAAAAACTTCTAGATCAACTTCATCGTCTATGAAGTAAAAAAAATAATAAAAACGGAGCAGCTGATTGTGAGCCACTCAGCGCTGCTGATGGTGAGGGACTCCTGCGTAGGTGATGATGGCTGCAGACTCTCGGTTTGGTGAGTTTCTGTGCACTCACTCCAGTTTCTGTCAGTTCACAGCCAAGTGTGTCTGTTTAAGGTGAGCGTTGGGGTGTGGTTTCTGGGCCGAGTGCTTTTAGAAAGGCGCCCGGCGCTCGTTAAACCAGGTTCTCTGCGCCGGGCAGGGGTTGCTGTACGGGCGCAGGGGGCTCCGTGGTGCCGGCCTGCTGGGCGAGCTGTAAGACGGGCATGTTGCACAGCGGGCACACCTTCCTCACCTCCAACCACTTAATGAGGCACCTAAGGGACAGAAAAAGGAGGCAAAAAGTCTGTGAAAGATGTCCAATACTTTTATTTATCTGAGTTCATTAAAAAACAGATCTTAAATGTTCTGAAATCTTATATCAGAGTCATGTCAACTCCAAGCGCCAATCATAAACCCCCAATCATAAACCGGGCTTTACTGGTCAGGAATAACCCAAACTAGCCCTTATCTAATAACTGTATTTAACATAGCTGTATTGTTCTGAGATAAAACTCTGCAGAGTGTCTAACCCTACCGATATCTGTCAACTGTGATATCTAATATGGCCTTGGTGGGGCTCTTTTCACACTTCTGTTCATTTTAGAAAATATACGCAAACTCAACAGAGGTTACAGTGATGTCATTTTAGTGGCCATGTGATAAACTGCTGTTCAAAACACATTTATTTATTGAGAGGGTTTACAAAAAAACCCTAAACAACTGAGAAATAAGGAAGCAAACAGTAGGAAGCGTGTGGCAAATTCATCTAGTCAGATGCTTTTTTTCACAGGATCCTTTATTACTCAACTATTTTACAAACCTTAAAAAGCATTTTTTATTTTATTTTTTTTTATTTTGCAAGCCACAGTCTGCTAAATGTACACATCAAATGTTTTGCTGACCCCTGAAAGACCCGTCAGCCCGGTGGGAGGCCTGTTTTCCCCACCTCACAGTGTGCAGGACTGCTGTGTGAGCAGGGGAATGTGTGACAAACCATTGGAAAGATCAGATACCCACGGTTTGAATAATGCACAGCACGTCTGTAAACAAAAACAAGTTTCCAAAAGCTGATTTAATTTCCTGAGAAATGGAAAGAAAAAAAAATCAACCCAAACCAAATGGGGCCCATGTAAAGGAGTTATTGCCCCACAGATCTACTTCCTGCTCTTTTGCAGAATTGTTTTCATTTAGCCAAATGAAAGATTTTCAATTAATTAATAGCCTATTTAAGTTCTAACCACAGCATCTCTGCTGTTTGAACCAAGTAATCTAGAGCTTAATGTCATGAACTTGTGAGGAAAAAAAAAAAAAGTTAATTGTTCTATTAATACCATAATTTTCGGACTATAAGTCGCAACTTTCCCCCCATTTTTCTATGTATCTATGGACTTTTACAGTTAACGGCCACTAGGATAATAGCTAAATATATGGATTTTACCATCCACCATGTTGACGTCACATTTGCTTCAACACACAAGTACAGTAGCCGCGCGCGGGAATGCAGAGGTCCTCTGGAAGCAGACTTCTACTATTTTTTTTTTTCCTTCTTGCTTTGATTCTGTTTTATCTTCCTGTATTTTAATCATGTAAAGCACTTTGCATTGTCTTTGTACTGATACTGATTTATCTGATACTATACAAATAAATTTGCCTTGCCTTGCCTTGAGTGGTATGAGACAGAATGACAGCGAGAAAGACGGACATTGCGAGCTCAAGACAGTTTGTGTGACACCCTCATTATGGAAAAGAAACGTACCGGTAGAAATAATAAAAAGGAGCTTCCCCAAACAGTTGCCTCTTTCCCGACAATCCTCTCTGTGCATGAACCATATGGTAATTAAATATAAAAAACCTGCGGCTAATAGTCCGGTGCTGCTTGTATATGTACAAATCATGCAATTTAGCTTCTGCGGCTTATATTCAGGTGCGGCTGATAGTCCGAAAATTACGGTAACTATATGAGGCCAAGACCATCACTCTACAACACACATGTCTGCCTATAAGGATGATGAGGTTCTTTTACTGAAACTGTGCTCTAGTTTTCAGGAGGATGTAACGCGACGTAAACCTTTTTATTTTGTCAGTTAGCATCTATTAAGATATATTACGCTTTTTTTCTTAATAAAGGAAATTATGATTTGAAAAATTCTTCTTATATTAAAAAAAGGTTTTTTGATCCATTATAGAAATTTGTTTAATGATCTATAATAAAAACTGAACTGTTAAGTGTTAATTTAACTGTAAACATTAAAGTCAGTTTATGGTCCCAGCTCCTTCAGCCCCTGGGACAGAAAACTGGGTCAAAGGGTTTGACTGATATGGACAACAGTTTAAATGGCAGGACAGGAGCCAACTCAACCAGTCCATCATGTTTTGTATTCCTCTCCACACGTGTCCACTTATAGATTTATACATGAAAAATTCAAATTGTACCTTTTCTTTGATAATCTTTTGTACAAAAAAAGCCTTTTTTTTCTAAATTAATTTTTTATCAGATTTCAGAGAATTTAGTCTTATACTCACTTCCGATGAAAGGCGTGTTTGCATGGACAGATCCCCAGCTCATCTTTCTGTTTAAACTCCTCCAAGCACACTGCACATATCTGAAAGAGAAGGCCAGAGCTTTAGCTACAGTTTCAGTAAAAAAAAAACACAAAAACAAAGCCCTAATGCTAATGTGTTGCTAATTTATTTCTCTTTGGTTCCCTCTGCACTTATCACAGTTTTGTGTCAGTGGACTGCAAACAAACCGCTCAGGCAGCGGTGAAAGTCAGACGGACAAAGAAAAACACAGCTGTGGCCAAAATTGAACAAAAAGACAATCACAGGACTTTAAAAACAGATGAGTTACAGTCCAGCTATGTCCGCTCACACAAGTCTTACTACCTGCAGCCCTTTTCAGGGATTCTGGAATTTTTTCCCCCTAGATTTGCAAGGAAAAGCCGAAGATATGGCAAACTCGGAAAGCTTTTCACATAAAATCATGTCAGTGAATGATTCCAGATGGACAGACTATACATGTAGATCAAAGCCATTTTACAAAAAGATTTACTCAAAATCCCAGGGGTTTGATCATAACCGGTTGTCATTCATTCCATTTGGGAAGAACAAAACTCTGCAACAACTATTATATCTTAAAGATTCAAGTAATTTATCTTATTCTATTGAAGCTTCTGTTGATCACTTTGATCAGGAATGTTTCCCAACTTATTTACCAACGCTGTCCTAATCCCCACTTCATCTAGAGCAACCTAACATATAGAAAAGCATTTCTCTTCCCTTTTACGTTGGCAAACAGTGTAAGAGTCCACAGGTCTCCACGTGTTTTTTAGATCGAATTAGCACCCAGGGACCACCCACGATGACGTGAAGCCCATGAGCACAGTGCTGACGGCATATATTGGGTCATGCTTGCTTGGTGAGATTAAATACTTAATGTTGCCCTTATAAAAAAAGGATTACCTTTGAATCAGGCTAGAAAATTCAAAAGAAGGATGGGTGATCACAGAAAAGGAGGTAAAAGGGAGAATATTTCCCGTCAATGCTGGGTTTTTTTGTTTTTTAAGGAAACAACAGGAAAATACCTAAACTCTTCTTTTCCCAGACTCCATGGGAACCCTGCATGTTATCAAGAACTACTCTATTTCAAACCATCGACATTATTCAGGATGATGACTGAGTGCAATGTTTAAATAAAAAAAAAGCTGCTAGCATCCCTGCAACGAATCTCTAAAAAGACCTTTGTCATGGCAGCAATATGCTGCTAATGTCTGATCTGTGACCTGAACTGACAGACCACACTGTGCTCACACCAAGCTTCTCTCAGAGTTAACAACAACCGATTCAGCAGCTGACAGGAACTTCAAATTACAAAAGCATGAGCATAGAAAGCGTTTGTGTTAAAAAACTTCAATCACCTAGTGGACAGCTCTTTTATAGCAGCAACAATGACTCCTTTAGCTGCATAGATTTATGGGTGGATGGACATCTGTGGGTGAAAGGAACTGTATGGGGGCTCAAAGCTTTTCCTCCTGACCAGTTAGGAACACAGAGCAGCTATTTGTGTGGATGCCTGTTTTTAACCATCTGGATTGGGGAATAGATCAATTTGCTCTTGGTATTTTTTTTCCTAACACCTCATCTTTGGTGTCCCACTCAGAGCTGAGTTTAACAGAGAAAAACATCCCTTCTACCTCTATTCCTGTAAGTCAAGTTTAAATTCCCCTAAAGTCACAAAACTAAAATGACATCGAAATAAATGCAGAACAAAGACTTTAACCTCTTAATATTTTAACTCATGACTTCCAGATAGAAACAGCTGAAATATGTAACAAGCAACCATGTTTAATAACAAGAGACTAAGAAATTAGGTTGGTACGGAAAAAAAAAACAACCAGAATGTAGTCCTATCCTTTCAGTCTGTTACCAACCTCACATTGACTCAGTACCAAAGAACATTAGCTCCTAAAAAGGAAAAAGAAATAAAAAATTCACATTAACAAGCACTTAAGCAAAAAAGTATAGATGAAAAAGGATCTGATGAAAAAGCTTAAAAGTAGTCAAACTTTACAAAGTTTTGTTTGTGCTTCAGCAATGAAATATCTACAAGCCTAAAACATTCAGCCGAGTTCAGAGAAGTAAACCAAACCAACTGGCATACAAACTATGCTAGCTGAGATCATCGTTAGGTCTGCTTTAGATTATAAAAGTTGCAGACCCCTGTTCTAACACGAATATTTTGCTCTTAAATCCTGCTTTACTGCATCAAACTGAACTGTTTATGTTACCCATTTGGACATGTAACAAATGGTTTGGTTAATTGCAGGATCACGCTCAAAGCCTCATGTAGACGATCCGGTTAGGTTACACCTCAGATGTTCTGAAGCAAGCCTTGACCCGTAAACCCATCCCACACAAAGAATCGTTTCTCGACTTTGAAATCCAGCCTGACTTTACTCGTGCCTCTGGGATAAAACTTTACATTCAGAAATGGGTCACCCAGCCTGGGTTGAGTGTGCATTATTGTCCTCAGCTTGTTTATTTTGTCTCGGTTAAGACTCAAATTACATTTACTTTCTCTCAACCTCTAACAACATGAACCCTAATGGTCTGAGTGCTGATTGGGAGGCTGCTGATAAACTGTCTTGGACCAGGTTGGTGCTGCTGACTGGAGTCCACCATGACTCTAAAGTAAAGCCAGTTCTGCTGCTTTACATTTTGCCTGTAATTTTCCATCCACGCTTAGACGACTGATACTATGTAATAATGACATGCAGGGGACTGATGACTTAACCAGGAGATGGTAGTTTTCACATGGCAGTGAGTCATGCGAGGACATGACGTAGGAGAACATGCAGGTCTTTACTGTAGCCAAAATAGCAACTATGGGAAAAGCAAAGGATTCTTCGAACCGCTCTATAGTTATTTTATTATTCATACTTCCCTTTAACAAGAAGGAAGTATGGAATCTTACTTGCAATCATTCCCATTAACTCTGACACCCCTGAATACAATCCAGTGGAGCTAACTGATAATGGTTTAAATACCTTAAATGCAACATGCAGCATGAGTTACATCAATCACTTAATCAGATGAATTTAATGTTACATAAATCCTCACTTCAACCCCAGTCAGCCTCGGCAGATGGCCGTTCAGACCGAGTCTGGTTCTACTGGAGTTTTCTTCCTGTTAAAAGGGAGTTTTTCATCTCCACAGTCACTACAAGCATGCTTAGAGTGAGGGATTGCATGCAATCAACTGGTTTTCCTTAGATAGAAAACTTTGAATCATTTTGATTGTATGATCTGGTGAACTGTACTGTGCCTTGAGATGATAAGTGTTGTGAATTGGCACTATATAAATAAACTGAATTGAAATGAAACTGCATAGCTTAAAACGTGTTCAGAACACAGGAGCTTGCAGTTTTAGCACATGCTGAAAAACATGAGCATAAATCTTGGTGATGATTATCCATTTTGGTGATAATCTGAATGAAAACATTTTTTAAAGGATTCTTTAACATTATTTGCTGGGAGAAAAAAAGCAATTCCCCTCCAAACCAGAGAGTGCTAAAACAAGAAGGCGAGTGAATGAAGAAGGTGAGAGCAGAAAATTTGGTAATGATCCAGATCATGAGCAAGTTTTAGCTCATGAGGTGTAAGTCAACTGTCCAATCGCTTTTCTAGCTTTAGGATTGGTTTTAAAATTTTATCGCTTGCTTTAAAGGTTTATAAGGCTTGGCCCTCATCATAACTTTGTATAACATTCTTAACTCTAACACTGCAGTAAAAGCACTTAATCAATCAACTGATTTCATTGGAACTGCTTTCGTGTAAGGACTGCTTAGACAGCCAACAGTCTTAAATGGCGCTTTATGACCCATCTTCAGTCTTTGTGGATTGTTTCTAGCAGTTTGTGATTCTATTAAACTAAAACTGTGGGAAAAAAAAAAAAAAAACAATTTTATGATGCATTTCATGTCAATGATACATATTTTGAAGATCTTTACTTTTCCTTGTTGTTATTGTCATGTATTCAGTTTACTTGACTAAACTTTAATATAGTTTGGTCAATGTTTGTTGTTTTTATTTGCTATATAGATAAACTTACATTGACATTTAGCAGTTCTAATTTCTGTTGGTTGAGCTGTTATGACTGGGTTGTCTAATTTCAAAACATTCAAAACAGTGTACAGTAAGCTTCACGGCAGTTAGTGACGAAAGGCTCCAATAAAATTTTTTCAAACCAAACCTTGTTAAAAGATAAAACAAACTTTTAGCATGGCTATGGAATTGATCTTATTGCTTCAACATGCAGTGAGCTCAGGAGCATTTGTTTGTTTACTGTAAAAGTTAAAAACAAGATGAAAGCAGCAAGGAAATAAAAAAGTAGACCTTTAACTCCTAACATTGAGACTATTACATTTAGGCCCTTAACGAAGTACAGTATCACACCCCTTAACAAGCTCTATTAATGAGTCTCGTTGCCAAATGATAATTCATCAGAGAAACATTTATGTGGGCGCTCCCATGTGACGGAGTCCTTTATTTAAAACTTGTGGAGGAAAACCACCCCCTTTACATGAAGCATGGTGGTAGCAGCAGCATTATGCTACGGGGATTTCTTTGCAAGGTGGTGTGCAGGCTATATGAATCATATTTTCTTTTCCTGCTACATTGTTCAGGATATCAAGCAACAGCTTTCTCTCTTTACATCATGTTCAAATTGGTTCTCTAGATTTCCCCTCATGTTTCATAATATCATGACCCACAGCACACTAGAGATTTCCAACTTTAAATAAAGTAAACTGTGCAATGCAATGGCCATTACTTCTGCTGCTCTGATATGCACTTTTGAGATTAAATTAAATATCTTATAGCCACAACTTCCTGCAAGATATCAGTAACACATTGATTTGATACGGCTGCTGATAAAATCCATTATGGTTAGCCCACATTTTTCTAAAAACTTTATCTTTTTTAATAAACTACAAATTCATCCCCATTTGCTGTTGGTTTGTAACAGTTTTGTAACATCCCAGCCATTAGCAACATTCACACGTGCATCAACTGATGAAACACATCAATTGATTATACAGCACATAAAATACAATCTCTGGACAAATATTTGAAGTTATTCATCCTTTCGAAATGTGACTTGGCTCTACCCAAAGCACCTAATTTCTCCCTTAACACAAACTGGTAAGAATAATGCTCTGCTGATACATATGCAAGACACTGCACATCACAAAATTAATCCAAGAATGTGGAGACATCTATAAGCTTCCATATAAGTCAGTTTATCCACCAAAGTTTTCCTTTAAGCCATTTTTAAATGCATTTCTAACCTCCATGTTTTACAATTACACCACAAATCTCATTAGCAGCTTCCACCTAAACTCGAACGCTACACAGATATTTACATAATGACTGCTTTATTGTTTCAAAAACTATTTCACATTCAAAAACCATCTGTACTTTGGAGGCTCAATTAAAAATGACAAGAGCAGCAAAAATTGGTGATTAAAGTTCAAAAAGATGAGTGCTTACCTCATGCAAGTTTAACTCTTTGACTTTTTCCTTCTGGATGACCTAAAAGGGATACCAAAAGATGATGAGAAAACACCCACAATACCACTTAATAGTTACAGAACATCTTTATTATAAACAGCAATCTAAGAGGATTTGCTTAGAATAATTTAAAACCAGTCTCTAGTTTTTAAAGTAAAACATTCAGGTGTAAAGTACATTTAAAGACTTTATGAATTTTGTTTTTACAGGTCGAACTGAAGAGCTAAAACACGTGATGTTTTAACATCATGCTCCTAATTATGCAAGAAGTTCGTTCAAATGGGATTCCTCTTACAGTACTTTAAACATCAGCTGGGATTTAGGTAAATGTTAAACCCTGTGAGGATAAGAGACATCTAGTGCATCCAGTTTTCTTTTTTTTTATTGCAGTGGTATGTTGAATAACCTTTCCATCCTAAAGATAGAACAGTTCTAATATACCTTTAAAAGTCATTAATATTACATTGTGGGAATGATAAAGGTACACCTCCCCCCAGGTAGGAATAGAGTGAACATGTGTGAAAATCTTACTTGTTTGTATGCATAAAGCTCTTTGTGTGCCTGGTGCCGTAACCTGGAAAGAAGTAAAAGACAAACACCCTTCTGATTAGTTATTTCACTAATAAACATGGACATATATATCCATGCATCCTGCAAAGGAAGACAACAAAAATAAAGAGATGGACAAAACTGGCTTTGGCTGAAGAGAATCAATTATCCAATAATGTTGTCTTTCGTGTCAACAAGAAAAACATATCAGGCCGGACATTTATACAAAAAATATACTTGGAAGAAAGAAAGCCAAAACAAGAAAAAGCAGAATAACTGTCTTGTTTTTTTTGTATGATCCCTCTGTCAAATAATTAACTCCAGCCAAAAATAGCTTTCCCGACAGCAAACAGAGTTTTTATCAACCAAACACAGAAAAGGAGTAGAAGATCTCCTTAAACAAAGCTTAAGAAACTTCAGGGATTTATTCTGCTGACGAACACTGCAGAAAGTCAAATTACACATAAACAGAAGATATTCTTAGAAGACTTTAAGCCTTCCTTTCTTTACAAAACACTGCACCTCAGGCAAAAACATTAATCAGAGCAGTTTTCCACAGCCGTTAGAAACTGAAAGGCTGTGCAGAAGAGTCTTGCACAGTTTCCAAGAAAATTATTACAGACACAAGTTGAGCTTTGAGTAAAAATATTTCAGAGAACAGTGAGAGAACATGATCAACATTAAATGAGAGGAAATTCTAAAAAAAAACATACTTAAAAGGGAGGTTAAAAAATGCGGAAAAAGTGACGGGAGGGGGGGGTAAAAAGCAAAAGAGACAATAGAAATTCGTAGGTTTGTAAGATTTACCTCCATTATTAGTAACCTTAACCTCTCGCAGCAGAGTGAGAGGGATCTGTAAAACAAGCAGCACAGTCTAGGAGATAAACTGACATTTTGAAAGAAGTCAGCATGTAAAGGTGCAGAGACTCCCAATGGTTAGAGGGGTAAATAGGTCACTGGATCATAGATGGGGAATGTTTAACTTCCCTTAATGCAGTGGGAAGACAGAATGGGGTAAATAGACAGAACATGAATGGGACACTTCAAGGCATCCAGGTTGTGTAGTTTTTTTTAAAAGTACAACACCATTGGTAATTGAATCGCTTTGTTTTACCTTGGATAGATTTTAGTAGCACCAAAAAATAAACCAGTGATCAATAGTGTAATTTACCTTTAGCCCAGACACCAAAACATCTATTTTTCCTATTTAATCCAACTTTTTAAGCCTGTAAATATATCAACAAACAACTTATCTTCAACTACTTTTTTTAGGAAATGACAAAAAAAACTGTTCCATGTTTCGGACACATGCTTCAATGGCTAAATGAGTATAATCTTCTTCCTTATTAGAAGGTATTAACCTGGTAATCCCATCATTTTCTGCTATAAGTGTATGAACAAATTAGGGAGATAAAATAGTTCCCATTTCCTTTAATGGTCAGTGTTATTAACTGTTTAATTAAAACAAAAATAAGCTTGTTTGACATTTTTTAAATGGAAGATCTGATCTTATTTAACTGAGAGACAAGCTTAATGAACTAATTTTGGTATTTGAGACAGATTATATTAACCTGTTACAAGACTGAGGGTGGAAAAGAACCATCAAGGTGTTCTAATATACCAAACCTGCCTTGAGATCTCATCACACCTCAATCAGCTAGTAGAAGCTTGATAGGTCTGCCTCGAATTTCTCTGTGATGATATTCATTGATAGGATGTTTTAAGCAAAATGTTCTTGTGTGCATGGGGTCTTCACTACAACTAGTTTTGCCAGTGTTCTTGTCCGTTTATCTTTGCTGTAACAATATAAGATTTTCTTTTATTACTGCAGCAAATATTAAGCCATCAGATGCAAATTCCATTCAGTTCAATTACAAATATATACTTTAATTATCTCAAAGGGAAATTATATTGCTTAATACATATTTTTCTAACCTCAGAATTTATAAAGAGAAAAACAAGTCTAAATTGTCTAAAAGGGCATTCAGTATTGAGAGGGCATTCTGCATGCAGCTCCTTTAAGGGCTAGTCTTAATCCAAGTTGTGCTTTAAACATTTTTTATTTACTGAATAGGCTCTTATTGTTAAGGGTCCAAACTATTGCCAGATTGAGGGTTGGGACATTTCTGGTTAAAAATTGGATGGGCTAAGTTGTCTTTTTACTGTTTGTTTACATCACAATGATGCCCGTTTTTCTGTGGAAACGGATTCCAATCTAGAAGGATACAAAAACATCCTGGTTCCTGTTGTCGTGTAAACAGGAAAACTGAATCAGCTTGTATTGGAAAGCCCTGGCACATGCACAGCAGGTCCGTAATCAACAGAAATGAAGCGAGCAAGTTTCAAACATACAACCTACTAGTTTTCTTCACGTGTCTTGTGCAGAAAAATCTCAATTAAAATGTAATTAGATTTATTAATTTACCTGGAACAATACTGTCCTAAAATGAACCACATTTTAAATTTTAGCAAGAAAATACTGAATTTTATATCTAACACCCTGTATTACCAGTACTGAGGATAATCTGATAACACACATTAGTTTATAAAGAGGGGCAAGGAAGTGACTAGTAAAGATTGCTTGCATTTTTATGACGAATATATTGAGGATTACTCTCAAATCTTGCCGAATTAGAAGAAGCTTTCAGTCAATAAAATTAAAGCAGTAAAAGTGCAACATTTTAAATCATTATAAAAATCGCACATATACAGACTAAATAAAGGTAAAGCTGAAAAAGGTTAGCCGACTCTTCCAGAAATCTAACTCTTATTAACAATAATCAATAAGCAATAATCCTAGAAAACAATAATCTTACTATTTTAACTGTTCACGATACGAGACACAAGAAATAAATCAACAATTTTTCTATGAGGGGAACCTTCTCCAAACAGTGCTGTTTTAGAAAAAAAGGAAAAAAAAACATTTTATAGAGGAAGACATAAATAGGAGCTGTGGAAAGTGCCATACAGTGTGGTGGTAACAACATTTCTATACAACTCAATGGCTTTCATAAGTTGTAAAAATATCTCATTTGAAAGCTGCCATGAATGCTTTCTGTTTTGTATAAAGAATTGTCAATTTAAACAAATAATGTGGTAAGAAAAATAATTAAAATGAAAAACAATGCTTCAGGGACCCAAATCCCCCAATAGGACAGACATCTGGTACACTGAATAAAAATGATGCTCTTATTATGGAAGTAACAGTAAATTCAACACATTAGATGACACTAGAAGCAAAACAGGGTCAATGAAAAAGACACAAATTTCTAGCAGCTTTTTTAGGACTAAGAACTACAAATTTTTATGAATAAATTAAAAGGGTTCACACAAAAAAAAAAACAACTAATGATTGAAAGGAACTGTAATCAGTTCAAAACATTCAACCCAGGTTTGTCTAGTTTATATATTTTGTTTTATAGAATTGTCTAATTTAAAGCTTTTTTTTTATCCCAGAAAACATTGAATTACTATTCATCTAATGTTAACTCTATTTTCCAATTAGAGTAGTGGTTTCATAACCCCAATATTAACAAAAATAGAAAAATGTCAAACTGTATTACAGACTCAGTGTAGTAGTCAAAGCCTTTTAGATTTTAAGCTAGAGATGATTGACAGCACCCAGTCTCATTAAAAATGGTTAATAACCTTTATTTTCAGACCAACAGGAAGTGCTAAAGGAAATGCTATAATTAGCATTGTTAGGAGCTGGTCAGTATTACCACACTGCTTAAAAAAAATGTTTTATTTTTTATTAAAGCAAATAAATCAAATGCATATTTGTAACCTTTTCACCTTATTTTAGATTTGCTGCAAGCTGCAAAGCTAAGAAAATGACACTTTTTTTACACCGACCCGTAACAAACCCTTCAAAGAAATCTAGTTCTACTCAAATCCAAAGCAAAAAGGAGCACAGCTCTTACCTGATCAGGTAGCAGCAGAAGAGGAGGCTGAGGATGAAGACAAAGATGGCCGTCCCAAACACCACAATGTAGATATTAAGAGGAAGGTTCTGGAACCCTATATTTGGCATCTTGAAACTGTAGTGTGGGAAATCGGAGCTCATGAATATTCTGGATGGAGAGAAACATAAGACAGGCAATACATCAGTATTATAATATGTCTGAACTAATTGGCACAACTTTTATTTATTTCATAGTTCTATATACAGTATTCTTCTAAAGGTAGTGATTTAGAGGAAATTTAAAAAGCAGTCTATTTGTCCGTGTAGCCTGATGCATCTTATCTTTCCATAACAGAGATGTCTGGTACCATCGGATGCTAATAAATACATCTATTAACGAAGTGTGGTTGATGCTCCGGCCCTCATCAGAACTAGTTACTCATGTGGCCCTTTAGGAAAATTAATTAAATCTGATTTACTGAATGTAAAAGCTCCCATTCAATTAAACAATCTAAATCCAATCTAAATGTTACAAGCATAAAGCTAAGTGATAAGGTGTTGAGAATATGAAACCTAATTACAGCGATACACAATACATTCAACAGGACAGACATTATCCTAATGGATTAAAAGAGACTCAGGATTTACAGCAGCGGAGATGAAAGTTGTGGACAAACTAATGTAACACATTCAATACCTCCTTTCAAACTTGAACTCCACTTAACACTAAAAGCTCATTTGCGATGAAAACCATTTTGCACAAACTCTTTAAACTAGAAGAAAAATAAGTTTTCTATCTTTTCTTTTGCAAAATACAACCTGTATTTTCTCTTATACAGCTTTAAAAAAAAACGTTTAGTCATTTAATGTAACTTTACATACATCTGTGCTGCTCAAACATGAAGACACAATGTGAAGAAAATTCTAAAAGTGGATCACTCCTAAAAGGTGAGGTAAATATATTGAAATTAGTTGTATATTGTTAGTTTAATCAAATCTAATCAATAAAATGCAATAAGCCAAATTCATCTAAGTAACACCACACCAATAGCAGTTTGTTGGCCAAGTCCCCCCACTCCAAAGGAGCATGACTAGACATGTCCACACCTACACATAAAAGGGACCATGGAAGAAGAGGAGGAGAGCATGACAGGAATAGCTTTCTCCTTTAGGGAGGCCGTGTTGGGTCCCACCCCTCAAACAGATTCACCCTCTGTAACTCCTCCTGTGGAAAGTTTTGCTGGGGACCAATCCTCCTGGATAACTCTAAACTCACACAAATACGCTCTCAGTTATACAACATTAGGATAACCTTAGCTATACTCAGTCCTTACATAAGAGTATAAGATTCCACCTCCCCACAAAGAGATGCTTACCTATTTAAAGCCTGATGCAAAGGGTGTATTCCTACTTCTAATGTATTACATCAGGGTGTCACTCAGTGAGGAACCTCTTGGTTTTCCTGATAAATGTTTAAATATCTTTCCAGCTTGGCTCAATTTTACAAATGACTCCAGTAAACAAGCATGCAGGAAGGGAGGTTTAATGAGGACATGAGGGGCCGGTCAGCTTGTGCTTAGCAAACTTCCTTCACTGCATAAAAACTGAAAGTAAACTACTCAGTCTAGTCTTCATCATCATCATGCTCACTAGTTTCAGTTGCTAGAAGGGGATTTCACTCACAGACCACTTAGCAGAGAGATAAGGCCGCTATGTTATATATATGTAGGGGAGCCAACAGGGGGTACTACAAAAAACATCCAATAGGAGAGAGACTGGCTGTCTGGTTAAAGATAATTTCGTATTCAAGATTGTAGACCTAGCTTTTTGGAGTTTGTGTCTGAATAATACCTAGAAGAATTCAATACTTCCCTCTTCCACCAAATGCTGCACACGGCTGGCCTCAACAAGGCTACTAAACTTTTCCTTTGCAGCAAATAGGACAAAGTCAAACACAACCCATAACAAACAGTCATGGGTTAAAAGCTCTGGAAGAAAAGCGTACGAGAATCTCTAGATAAAATCAACGTTAGGTGATGGCAAGTAGGCCTTCCAAACCACATAATCCTCACTAAGGATAACTTGTTGAAAAGTGAGAAAGCTCATAAAATGGGGTTGAAGGCTTCAATCCCAATGGAGGTTATTCAGCTGATCGTAGATCGTACGATCGTAGATAACGTAGTCAATAAAAATAGATGAAACAAAGGTCAATATGCATATTTCTTACATTCACACCGAACGCAAATTTCACAGCTAGAGCAAAGGAGTTCCATGTCATCTCTACTGTACATGGAAGGGTGAATCTGGAGCAAAGCAAAGTGAGCAAAGCTGAACTAGGCGACAGTGGCAAATCATGGAGTCGAACTTCATGATATTGGCGAAGTTGCCGACATTTGATTGCCACCTTACCTGCAAATTAAGTTGAAAAAAATAAATAAACTTTTCTTTACATTTGCGTCGCAATATCCAGTCAGGGACTAGATGTGGCTATAAGCTACATTAAAGGAGCGCAGCGTAGGTGAGCTTCTCTTAATTAGAAATGAAAAATAGAAAAAGGGACAAAACAGATATGCTGTTAAGAGATTAAGGTGGCTTTTAAAAAAGCCCTAGAAGGGCTGTTTCTGTTTCCAGCACAGACAAATGCCTTATTTTCCCAGCTTTGCTTATCCTCCCTGGTTCTCCTTTCATCTCCCGCAGTTAGTCTAGAGGCTAGATCCAGCTGCCAGAAGCCTTTCCTACCTCTGCCTTCATGGCTGGCTTCTCCGATGTAGCACTGTCCTACTTCTGGGCAGCTGTAGTCTCCAGTGCCTTCAGTATTGTGCCTTCAGGTACTTGTGTCTTGTCGGTGTGCTCCTCTATAGCTTTGGATCATCGCAGATAACTTCTATAGCTAGCCTGAAACCTTGGCTCTGCCTTTCATCCCCGCTCTAGTGCGCTGACAACAGGAGGGATCCTCCGATCTCCCGCTATGGTTCGCTAGTTCTAGATGATGACATGGCTTGTAGCCTGGTCCTGGATCGGGATAACTTTTGCTCTCACTCTGATTTCCTGCTGCTCTCGTCTGAACTCCAGAATGCCGTCTCACCTAACCCTCTGTTGTCCAGGTGATTTGTCCTCCAATGTGGGACAGCAGGAACCCGAATTGGATCACAGACAGGCGAACGTAATGCCGTAAACAACTCATCTATACGCAGATCCTGGAGGAGGGGCTGTTAGTCCCCATACATATTACGCCTCTGGAGAGAAAACCGTGAACCCAGCGACGATGGCAGTTTTGTTTGGCTTTCTAAAGTACAAAAACACTGCAATTTGCTTCAAATAATCAATGTCCTCAATTCCTCTGCTTTCTCTGGCCAGGCGGATTTCAAGATGAGAACAAGCAGACAAAAATTTTGCAGTTCGCGTTCGGTGTGAACGCACCTTGAGACTGTTGTGTCATCTTTTCAAGGGAAGCCCATCTCACTTCCAGTCAGAAACCAACGTCCTCAGTTGTAATACAATAACTTTAAATTTACTAGGTTATGTAATAATTTCAAGTTAAACAGTGATACCATGAATCTGCTGGATTTTTGGGAACATTTCCTGAACACAAACATGACAAACACCTCTGAGAAACTACTATTCTATGAATAGACTAAAACACTGATGAAGATCATCATGACTTGATAAGACGTGTCTATTCATGCAGATCACAGATTCATGCACATATCATTTATTTGAAGTACACATACCCAAGTGGTGCCTTCATGCTGAAGAGCAGAAAAGTCTGCAGAGACTTGCAGCACAGGCCTCTGTAAAATGACATAACGTGTTGTTGAGAAAGAAAAAGGTAAGTTTGCCTGCTGGTAAGATGTTTGGACCACTGCATTTATTTGCCACTTTCATAACTAAGCTCAGGCTGAACCCGGCCCCTTTACCGAGTCCTATTGGTGTCTCAAACTGATGATGGATGCAGCTACCTCCCCCTCCCCACTTATCAACATGCTGCATGCTCTCCAGATAAAAACATCTCAGTCAACAGATGCCCTGTATGACTAATAATACTCCTTGGTATCTTTTCACATTTTCTCACAAACCTCAACATGAGAGGGATTGTGATATGGATTTAACACAACACAAAGTCGTTACAAGTGACATGGAGGATACAACAAACCAAGCATTTAAATTTTTTACCTAGGTACAAAATGCTGTGTGACAGAGAACCAATATTATACATCATACACAATGGTGAATTCTTTGTGCCAAACATCCACTTTATTAAGATTTTGCTGACTAAGAAGACCAAGGAATCCAAAAATCCAATTTTACTTCCAGTCACCCAAATGTGCAGCCTGTATGAACATGAGTGCATTCACGCAGGTAATGAATGCATGCACAAACCAAATGAGTTAGGAGAGAAGCACATGGGTGTGTTTTCCATGCAGGCATCCAGTGATGACTCAGTGGCTTTTTAACAAGTTATTCTGAATAACTTCCGGCATTATCCAAGCAACAAGTGAGGCGTGATGTCTTTGTTGGGTGACAGACCTTAAACTACTTCAAACAAACCAAATGAAGTTCCTCTGACATACTGGTTTTACTTGGCAGCTACAATCACATTGTTTTCCTGAAATTCTATAATTCCCAAGTGCAGCAATGCGATGTACTACGTCTAAAAATATCTATATACCAATATGATCCAACTCTAATGGAAGCTGCAAAATGGTTAGTTTCCCATTCAGCTCTCAATGTGACATAACTCCAAACACAACAGCCTAAGTCTGATGGCTGGTATGGGACAGACATGAATCAGGTTTGCTTTGTGCTTCCGACTCTCCTAACAATCAACTCTTCCCGCTCGCTCAGTTACTTTCACATGGCCTCACCCAGTTACATAACCAGCAACAAGACTCAGCGCTGCTCATCACATTCTTGGGAAGTGAAAGTTGTTGTTTTTTTTTTTACACTCCTTTCTATTATTCTCAAAATAGACAACACATGTTGGTTTAATGTGAGGGTATACTACAGAAATAACTCAAGAGTTTAGGGAATTATCATATATCCACAATATATGTAGAATCAAATAAAGTAATTAAAAGACCAAAGTGATAGCTTTTTCTGCTATAGCTAAGGCTTTTAAAGCAAAAGCACATTTTAATCATTTATAATTTCAGTTTTACTTTCTCTAAATGTGTGACTAATATATCAACAAGTAGTTTAGGGGAAACAAACAAAGCAAATTTAAATAAAACATTATTCAGCTTCCATGCATATTTTGACATAATCTTTATTATTTATTGTCCCGATCTAAGCTACACTATTTTTCCAGCTGCATAGACCAACCAATTCTTTGCAAGTTCAACTTTTTCTTGTAAACACGGCATTTACCAGATTATTTTGGTATAGTGAAGCACCGTAAAACAATCTTGGCAATATGGGAACTTCTAACTTCCTCTGGAAAAATCCCAGACAAAAGCTAATACCAAGCCTTCATGTTCCACTCTAATCGATCTATGAGTTCAATCTATTTTAGATATTGTAAGTAAAGTCCGTACTCAGTTAAAAAGTAAAAAAAAAAAGGAAATCACAGTACAAAACAAATGAGCTGGAAAATAACATCCCCTCCACGCAAACAAAAAACTCTGGCCGATCAATACTACAGTGCGGATGCATACGTAAGACCAGAGGTCAACACTTTGCAGCACCCTCATTTTGGTCAAAATAAACAATAACTGTAAGTTTATTTCCATTGTTTAAATTCCTAAGTTTATTTTGATATGATGCTACTTTAAACCAATAACAATCACTTGTTATTATTAATAATAACCAATTATTTATTTGGTCCCCCCTAAATAATTAATTCCAGTGCATCAGTTTAAAAATAATGCATTTCCAGTCTTTATTTAACACTAACATTTTAAAGGAGCCAAAACCTGGTATTTTACAACCCTTCAGGGGTCGGAAAATAAAGCTCTCCAAATGCAACAACATTTTCATTTGGCGAGTTAATCCCAAAGCACCATTCACCATTGTCCGGTCTCCCACACAATGTGTAAAAAAGTATGCTTAATGCTCACCTACCAATGTTTGGTCTCAGCAAATCAGGGTGACAAGTGAAATAGCAGCAGACTACATGAGAAACCACAACAGCTTATGCTTTTTGCTCTTGTTTCACTTTCTAGAATGAAAGTGGGGATTCTGGGAAAACAGATGTGATAGCAGCAAATACTGAGCTGCTGTGTTTATTTAGGTTTGGCTGTGGGCTTGGAAGATCTTGTTTTCGTCATAGCTATATCATATGTACCACCTTAAAACCAAATACTAAAGTGACCCATTTTGGATTAGTCTCGGACAGCTGAAGCAGGAGAAAATGAATTCTTGTGAGTTCGGTAACTCACAAATAGCATTAGAAATCAGCTTGAACGCAAGCTTATTACTTAACAGTGCTGCGGGATAATATCACCCTACTTCTAACCATTAACAACTCTTAATACTGTTAGTTGTGGTGAAACTTTTAAGAGGTTGCCAAACAAAATGACTCCAATAGTACATTGAAACCTTCTTCAGGCGGTCATAAAGAAGCCAGAAGAACCTCTAAGGCAATGTAGACCTAACATGTTTCAGTTAATGTCCGTTTTTTCATATTTCAAAAATAAGGAGAGTGGACAAAGGCATTACCAGGAGGGACTGGTGTTAATGTCAAAGCTATAGCTGATAAAAAAAATGATTGATGATTTTTTTTGGTCAACTATAGTATAGGAAACAACTTCAGACTGATGAGTCAAATATTTCACTTCTTGGAAAGTGTGCCTTATGTTACATCTGGCATTACACAGAACAGTACAGTGTTTCAGAAAACAAAGGCAGAGTTAAACGTGGTGTTGGAAGGGTGATTGTCCGGGACTGCCTATTGATTTTAAGACCGAACTTCTTCAGTTCTGCTCTTCAGTAGAAGACCTTGGGGGACTGCTTGGTCATTGGTGGCCTTAAGCTCAAGTCCGCTTATATAACAGGACTAAAACGCAACAAATAAAACAACGAAGGCTTTTGACTGAATTAGTCTAAATCTAGGTTTATATCAAATGAGATGCTCTGCCATTACTTCAGACAAAACCTGTCAAAAAGTCATGTATCTGTTACCCTTAAAACTAGGTCCTTCTGGCTAGAATTTTATTCCCAATAAATTAAATCATATTTACTCAGGTAACTTTTTTTTTTATTATCTTAAAATCTTGTTTTTTGATCTAAAGCTTGTCATTGTGACAAAAAAAGCAAGAAATTTAGAAGGGGCAAATACTTCTACACTGAATTTAGTAAGTGCTAAATTCTCAAACCTCCAACGCTGGGTTATCTGTCTCACAAATATTTTGTCCAGCTCCCGGCAATGGCGGCTCCCTATTTCCCTCCTTGAGCGTGACATAACTAACTCATCATAAGGCTTTATCAAACATACTCAACCCCCACTGCCACTCACCTCTCTCCCCAGAGGTTATCCTCCACACATATTACATGAGAAAAACAATGACCTTATAAGTCCAAACATCTGAGGTGGTCAAACAGCTAATGTGTAATACAGCCTCTGTTTTCAACCATAGAAGTAGCAAAAACCGCAACTTCAAAACCAGCTTGAGAACATATTCTGTGTTCAACACTTTTCTTTTCAGCTTCATGTGGTTATTTTAATGAATACCAAAACACTTCCTGTAAACAACCCTTCCACTTTGCTTTTGCACGGTAGTTCTTGTTAGCAGGCTACTGCATCATAGTTAAACATTTGAATGAGAAGTGGAAATTTCCACTAGCTACCATGGGATGTGCTCATCTGAAACTTTATATGCTAAAGGGCAGCAACAAACACCAGGGCCCCACAGGCAGAGTAAGAGGCTGATTTAAATGTGCCGGCTTAGGTCATAAAAATGTCTGTGTTTAAATGATGATTCAATCTCATGCAGGCCACTCGCATATCAAAGTGCTGGAAATAAATAAACATCATTCGCCAATTAAACATGGTTTTATGTATAGATATTCAGACAAATTAATTTACTCTTTATTGGTGAACTTTGATTCAGAATATTATTTTATTACTGATTTATTTCCCCAATCGCATCATTTTCTCTCTTCCCACTGCCTTGTTTCATGGGGGATTTTGCCACGCTGTGGCCTTTTTAAGGCCTTTTGATAAAAAAAAAAACTAATTTCAAATACTCCAAACAGTGTTTGCTACACAAGCTTGTTCAAATAGTGTGGTTTGCACACTAATACTAGCAATGCATTAAGTAATGGTATAATTGGACATTTTTCCTCATTGATCAGTTGGAGACTAAAAAAAAACATTAAAGGTGAGCTATTAGTAGCGAATAAAGAGCTTATACTTAGACCGATTTATTAGATGGGGGTGATATGCGAGTACTTTAACTGCAACTCGAAACATACATCATGACAACACTCATAATAATGCATCACCTTTTACTTAAAAACATTTTGTAGAAAAAAGTAAAGATAAGTGAAAATAACAAAGGCATGGTATATCGAAACTGAATTATGGAGGATGAAAAAATATGAGTATTTCTTACAAAAAATTATCTTTATGCGAGCATAATACAGCAAAAGAAAAAGTACAAATATTAGTTATAAACGATCTTTTACCTCCTCTACAGTGGATGGTTTGCTCTCCTTCCCCCTTTGCTCCCCATCATTCCTCAGAGTAACTCAAGCTGACACAAACATGGAAGAACTGACACAAACAGCTGTCTCATGGCACTTATGTCCCCTACCGTCTAATGACCCCCTTAACCATGATACTTCTCACCTT